CTGTGACTCCTGCCCTAAGACACAGTAATAAGGACCGTTTTGGCTTCCTCTACAACTTCCGTCACAACCACCCCACTTAAGAAATGTTATGCTTCCCTGAGAGATGCCAATCAGAGATAGAGATGATGCCCATGGCCCATTGTTAGTGGGCGTTCTCTTATTTATACATCCAGGGTGGATGATCTTTCGAGTGGGCAACCTGTAAGATCCACCCACGTTCCCTCACCCAGACCACCTGGAGACCAAAGCGTGCTCAGGGATGGACCTCTTTTGCTTCTTTCCTATCAACTATTTTGTGGGCCAGGAAATAGATTTTTAATTTTTTGTTAAAAGTCGTATTTTTATCTGTTTTATTTTTGAGGACACACTAAATGTTCTCTAACCAAAATACTGAAAGAGACAAAGAGATAGGTATGTATGTGTATGTGTAGCAAGGGGTGGATTGGGATTAGAAAAACTCATAAAATAATTAACGTGCTTGCTACATGGGTAGTACAGACATCTGTACCCAACAATTAGTGATTATACAGTCTTCTCAGGAACATAGGGAAGTTTTTACAAAAATTAACCTTGTACATAAAGCAAGTCTGAACAAAAACCGAGCAATCAGTACCATCTAGATTCTGACTACAGTGCAAATTAAGTTAGATATCAGTAATAAAAAGATACTTTAAAAACTCATATATTAAAAAATTTCATATATATTAAAACATATTTCCATTATAACGAGGTCAAAGAAAAATTCATAGTTGAAGAAAATTACATATAACTGACTAAGGAAAATAGTGCATGTCAAAATTTGGGACCTATAGCTAAAATTGTACTTTGAAGAAAATGTTGGGCCTTAAATTCTTATATTAGAAAAGAAGGGGCCAGGCACGGTGGTCATGCCTGTAATCCCAGCATTTTGGGAGGCCGAGGTGGGTGGATTACGAGGTCAGGAGATCGAGACCATCCTGGCCAACATGGTGAAACCCTGTCTCTACTAAAATACAAAAAACTAGCCGGGTATGGTGGCACGCACCTGTAGTCCCAACAACTTGGGAGGCTGAGATAGGGGAATCGCTTGAACCTGGAGGCGGAGGTTGCAGTGAGCTGAGATTGTGCCACTGCACTCCAGCCTGGCAACCGAGCAAGATTCTATCTCAAAAAAAAGAAAAAAAAGGAAAGAAAGAAAAGAAAAGAAAGACTGAGAATTGATGAATGAAACATCCAATTTAAGAAGTTAGAGAACAATAGAAAATACAAATAAATATTTTAGTTGTTTTCTCTCTATGGAGAGAATTGCATTTGTAAAAGAAACAAGTGACAAGTTATTATTCTGTTGTGACATTGCTAGGGGCTCATGAATGAAGGAATAGAAAACTGTGTCATTACCTTCCAATTTCATTCAGCTCAGTGTAAGCTGAGTCAAAATTTTCCTTCCAAGAAATGGTGGCACCATCAGCAGCAGCATCTTTGGAAGAGAGAGAATCCATTTACAATATCAAGGATGACATATAAGAATAAAGAAGAGATTAACAGAAAAGCTCCAGAATAACCCCAAAGCAATTCTCATGACCAAATATGGAGTCTAACTCAGCGGGAAAATGCCATGATTCCCTGGAATGTTATTTTAAAAAATCATTCAAGGGGAAACTGACATGACAGAGTCAGCCCCTCTCTCCTATCTACTTAAAGAGAAAACTCAGGACAATCAGAAATGCGACTTTTGGATATTTTAAAGTAGATGTTTAGTAGAAAATGTTAAAGGGGGAAAAATATTTTGAAGGCCTAGAAGAGCCGGAGAAAATCAGGGATGTAAAAAGGATGCAGAGAGAGAAGAAGGGAAAAGTTATATGGTCAAGAGAGGAGAAAAGGAAAAGACATTTTAGAAATTTCTCTTTCTAGCCTGAGCCACATAGCAAGACCTTGTCTATACAAAAAATCAAAAATTAGCCAGGTGTGGTGGTGTACATCTGCAGCCCCAGCTACTCAGGAGGCTGAGGTGGGAGGATTGCTTGAGCCCAGGAAGTCGAGGTTGCAGTGAGCTATGATTGCGCCATTGCACTCCAACCTGGGAGACAGAGTGAGACCCTGTCTCAAAAAAAAAAAAACAAAAACAAAAAAAAAACCAGAGAAGAAAAAAAATTCTCTTACCCCACTCTTCTCAGGCATTAATAGGCTTTAATGAGCTTTTCTGGTATGTTGAAGGATTTAACTAAACCCACAATACACGCCTGAGTAGATTGTTCGGCAGTATTACCTTGTATGATGTGTTAATTCCTTGGCAATGATTCAGACACACACATACACATGCATACAAAGCATGCACATCAGTACACATTTGTGTTGTCTGTTGGCCACCAAGGTTTACAGATAGCAAAACACAGCATCATCTGGGGCTGGAGCAAGTTTGCAGCCTGGGAGGAGAGGCATCACATGAGCAGCTTGGCTCAGCTGACTCGGGAGCCAGTTCCCTTAGGTTTCCCAGAGCACAGCCTGGCTGAGACTGAAGGAGGCTTATCCATCTTGAATTCTGAGGAAACAGAGACCTAGGGCCTAGGTTTCTGCATGAGTCACAGGCTCATGGGAACAAAGTCAAAGTCACTGGGAGAAAACTGGGCTGACAGTAGGGCTGGAACTGGAGAGCATTTCTGGATTCAGGTGGGGGCAGAGGTGACTTAGAGGGTTTCCCAAACCCCTCTGGGGACTCCAGAATCCCCTTAACCCTAAGACACATGGGTCCATTGTCTCCTGAATACAGTCAACTGCCCACTGCTCTTCCCAACACACACAGACCACTACCTTGCACTGCCCGAAATCTCACCATTTGGAGATTTCTTTAGAATAGCCAAGTTTTCTCTTTCAAAATGTCCCGGGATGAAGATGATTTGGGCAAAATAAGAACCATATTCGTAAAATACTCCTATTTAGCTAGTTGTATGTGTATCTTAGTTAATTTTTCAACAAATCTACATAAAATTATAACCCATGTTGAAAAAAGAAATTCTGGGATGATTGGGGGTGAGGAAACAATGAAATCCTCATGTTGTACTGAAGTCCTTCATCCAGGGTGCTTTTCTCTCCCCCGTTTGAAGTGGGTGAGTCCCTCATGCAGGGAGGTATGTTTACAGCTGGCAGGGGTGCCCGGGTGTGAGAAGGCTTTGTATACTGTCTCAGAAGAGGGGCAGAGAACATTCATGGGACTAGTGACTCCTGTCTGTAACTCTCCATTCCTGGAGACATACTCATTCCCCAGGAACTTGGCAGGTGCAGGGGTAGGCATGGGTGCAGACCTAACATTTGCCCAAGACGCTTGGAGCTATACTTTACAGAAACATTCTTATCAGGCCTCCAGAATGTTGCCTGACTGAAGCCACCAGGTGCCTGTAAGTCTGTGACAGGCAGCCAGGTGCCTCGTCCCCACTGCCTGGGGGACTGGGGCTGGGTTTGGACTCACCATATTCTGGAAGTCGCACAAACTCCGAGGGCTCGCTGGGAAGGCTGATTCCCCAGGGGTTACTGGCACTGACTCTGAACTGATAAGGACACCCGGGACTAAGGTCTTCGATGACGAGGTAAGTGTCCAAGGTCGAAGCCACCGACTGCTGCCAGGTCTGAGAACCTAGTGCATGGTTTCCCAGGAGAGGGGAAGAGAAAAGCCAAAGGGACATTGTTTCAAAGACCTTCAGCAAACAAATAAAGAAAAAAGGACACATTCAATTCAAGGGACGCTTGTGGTCACTGTGTCAGGCTCTGAAAGCCTGCGGGCCAACTGTGGCAGTTTGGGTTCAAGTTCCTAAATGATGAAATAAATGGTGAGAGGCGTGGAAGAAGCTGGCCTATAGATTCTGTCCACTTTCAAATGTGCAAGTGCCAGACTGAAAAGAGATAATACAGAATTTGCAGGGGACACACGGTAAACTTAAGGCCAGCAGAAGAGTATATTTTTAATAAAAAAAAACATGAGAGAAAATATGCATTTGGAAATGGAAACAAAATGGAAATTAACATGTATTGAACACTAAGTACATGTAAGATACTGTGGAAGGTGTCTTCAACATAATTCTTTCATTTAACTTTCTCTCTTAAAACCACAGAAACTCAGTGAGGTAGACAGCACTAATCTTATTTTACAGATATAGAAACTGAGCCTCAAAAATATTAAACAATTTGCCCAAGAGAACTTAGTTAATGAGCTGAACTATGAACTAGATAATGCTAAGGTAAATATGAACTCTGTAAAATGTGTCTCCCAGCTCACTATTAATACTTTTGTGCTGACCTGGGAGACACAAGAGAGAACAGCTTAAGAAGGATGTGGAAATAGATGGGTTTATAACTGCATAGGGCCTGTTTAATAAAAAAGAAGAAGAAAGAAGAATTAAAATAATAAGCCTCATGGAAAGTAGAATAAAACAAATGGTTTTGGTTCAGGGGATAGGGTAGCAAGCAGTTGCTTTCAGTTCAGTTGTGCGATTCATAATGTGGTTCAGAGTAATTTTATTATTATTCTGAATAATTGTACTTGTGTTGTTAACAGTTAGAGCTATCTGGCAGCTTCTTATTTTAACTAATTCTTCTTGCTAACTAGATGGAAGTCGCAGTTGTTTCTAACTGCTGAAGAAATATATTCACTTTTAGCATGTAAATGTAACAAATTTTAACAATTTAAATTGCACAATTTTAAACTGCACAATTAAAAAGATATATTGTCTGAATTTTATCTGGGGCTAGGGGGTGTAGAACTCTGCCCATACTATAGTACTTATTTCTCTGGGAGAAAGACCACAATTAGCAAAGTAGAGATCTGGGTTCTCCGGCTAGCTCTGCCTCTTACTAACTATAATCTTGTGTTTCTTAACTTTATTTAGGCCTTAGCCTCCTCTTCTGTAAAATGGGCCTGATCATCCCTGTCTGGGTGATGGAGAGTGTTAAGTAGGGATACAGGCACCTTGAAAGCTGCCCTGGGTCATAAATATGTCAGGGAGGTTTGTATCATCTTAGCCAAGACAGCTGCTCAACATCTGGGATCAGAAGGCAACTGTAGCTTGACACTGAGGCCTCTGTGCCGAGTTGGAAGACACAGCAAGGAGCAGCTTCTGAAAGATGAAGAGGCTAATATGTTTACAATTCTGAAGGACCTCCTAGATATGAAGAGAAGAGAGAAAAAGAAGAGCAGGAGGCCGGGTGTGGTAGTTTACTCCTATAATCCCAGCACTTCTGGAGGCTGAGGCAAGTGGACTGTTTGTGCTCAGGAGTTTCACAGAAGCCTGGGCAGCATAGTGAGACCCTGCCTCTACTAAAAATACAAAAATTAGCTGGGTGTGGTGGTGTGCGCTTTAGTCCCAGCTACTCAGGAGGCTGAGGTGGGAGGTTGGCTTGAGCCCAGGAGGTGGAGGCCGCAGTGAGGCTGACATCGTGCCACTTCACTCCAGCCTGGGTTGACAGAGCCAAACCCTGTCTCAAAGAAATACATAAAAATAAAGGAAAAGAAAAGAAAAAGAAGAGCAGAAGATAGTGCACCTTCTTCTCTGTACTCCACAGTGTAACCAGAAATAGTGCAGTTTCCTGTGCTGGAGGGGGGCAGCCAGCGGAGAATCACAGAGGTGCAGCTTCTCTCCTGGGCAATGGGACGGTTAGGGGCTGCTGGAACACCTGTGGAGACAGAAGTCAGGATCAGGTGCTATTTCTGCAGAACTTGGCATTTTGCACCAAGGTATAAGGTCATCGAGGAAACATTCCCTAACCCATGTTGCAATTTTTTCCTATGACCTTCTCCACCAAGTGACATACCTTTCTCCAGGAGACACGTCATGCTGTCTAAAGTTCTTCCTCGGGCTAAGTACTATACCCTGAAGATGATGCTTGGCCAGGGAACTAACATGTTGATGGGAGGTTTATGGTAGGCCACAGACAGCTCTTAGCAAAGATTCGTTCTCTTCTCATTTGCCAGAACTTTAGTTTTGAATTTTTACAATGGACATTTTCTCCCCCAGGTTGCAGGGAATGCTTATAATGTTCACTTAAAATGTAGGGTCAGTTGTGGTGGCTCACGCCTGTAATCCCAGCACTTTGGGATGACAAGGCAGGAAGATCACTTGAGCACAGGAGTTTGAGACTCTATCTCTACAAAAAGTTTAAAAAATTAGCTGGGCATGGTGGCACATGCCTGTAGTCCTAGTTACTTGGGAGGCTGAGATGGGAGGATAGCTGGGGCCTGGGAGGTGGAGGCTGCAGTGAGTGGTGCCATGCTGTTGCACTCCAGCCTGGGCAACAGAACAAGACTGTCTCAAGAAAAATAAAAGTTTGACTAACACAAATTGGTAGGGACAGAAAGTAGAGCAGTGGTGGCCAAGAGGCACTGGGGAGGAAGGAGTGGAGTCATTGTTTAACAGGTGCAGATGCGGTTTCAGAAAGATGGGAAGATGAAAAAAGTTCTGTGGATGGATGGTGGTGATGGTAACCCCAAAATGTGGATGTACTTAATGCCACCAAACTTAATTTATAAACTTATTTATACATTTTATTTATATACATTTATTTATATATTTTTGAACTGTATGTTTTAAAACGTTTAAGGTGGAATGGGCACAGTCGATCATGCCTGTAATCCCAGCACTCTGGGAGGCCAAGGTGGGAGGATCGCATTAGCCCTGCAGAATGAGATCAGCCTGGGCAACATAGCGAGACCCCATCTCTATTTGAATTTTTAGAAAATGGTTACAACGATAAATTTTATTGTGTGTGATTTATTGCAATTAAAAAATAAACATTTTAAAAGGTATCGTAGGCAACACAGTGAAATCCCATCTCTACAAAAAACGCAAAAAAAAAAAAAAAAAAAAAAAAAATTAGCGGGGCGTGGTGGTGCATGCCTGTAGTCCCAGCTAATCCGGGGGCTGAGGTAGTAGGATTGCTTGAGCCTGTGAGGTCAAGGCTGCCATGAGCAGAGACCATGCCTGAGCCACAGCAAGAGCCTGTCTCAAATAAATTATTTAGGAAGGTTTGACTAACAAAGAGGCTCTACCTTGCACTTTGACTGTTGCAGATGTTGATGTGGTCCCGTGGTCATTTGTCGCTATGCAGGTATAAATCCCGCTGTCTTGGGGCATCAGATTGCAGATCTTCAGGGTTATTTCTCCAGAATCACTAGGGACACCAAAAGGATGCTCTTTAGACTCCAGTGATAAGACACTTGACTGCTAGGTAAAATCTCATAGGGTTGGCACATGGTGTGCTGAGCAGAGTTCTGCGGCCCAAGGTCAGTCCCTAGTCTGTGAGCTACCTACATACCTTGGTGATCACTCTGTCTCCCTACATCACCAGTTGTTTCTATCAAAAAAAATTTTCTGGCCACGCCCATCTCTCAAGTTTGTTATACATGAGGAGTAGAATAAGAAATAAAATGACATAAGAATTAGAGCATGGTTTGAAATATACAAAGTCCTATGCAAGTTCTGGCTCACAGTATTATTAGTATTATTATCAGTAGCAACTTTGTCCTGGAATATTTTCAGTTTCACAGATCGATAATAAATGACTGGCAAAAAAAGGAAAGAAGAAGAAAAATGTTAAGTATTTCAAATTCTATATGTGGGATCCTCAAAATAATCAGGTGAATTTCTAAGAAAGGGTAAATTCCATCACCTAAATGGTAATTTCCCCATTCATCCCAATATAAGTTCCAGGAACATCTCCAGGGGAGATCTGCTCTGAAACACAGAAGTCACAGTCAGCCATGCGCCTTCCCCAGGGTTATGATATACCCTGGAGCTCTTCATGATCCTCACCAACCACTGCCTCTCACACTAGGCTTCTTGGACCCACTGGTATTTTATGACCTGGCCAGGTGGTCTCTGCTGGGAATACCAAGGAATGATGGTCTTTTTCTATTTCACATACATGCAAATTAAGTCAATGAATGAAAGTTTCTTGATTCTAGGTGCTTCTTCCACTAATGTTTCTTAAGCATCTAGGGCTTGCTACCGCTTGTCCATTGTAAGCAACAGTACACAATCCAGTTCATAATCAGTAACGACAAATGTTGACAGGATGACTGGGAGGCAGTCAGCCAAGTTTTGCTAAATGGACTTTTTGTGTAGAAGCGTGCCTGCAGCTTGATTTTCTATTGCACATTTTGGAATGAGTCATTTCTTTTTCTAATAACATTGTTCTTAGGCAAGGAATTAAACATCTCATTGTTTTACAGCATCCTGAAGGGCACCAAAAATTTCAGGATGTGCAGATTTGAGGACTACATTTTTACTACAGGTCTAGAGCCTTTACCATTTCATCAGAAGTCTGAATCTTCTGACTTAGAGATTTACTTGGGGATCTGTAGGGAAAGATCGCCTTCCAGGACGAATGTAAGGCAGTGACTGTAAAAACTCTTCCTAAGTATGGCGCATGCTTGACCTGAGATATAAAGGTTTATGTTTTTCCCTATTTGTTTAACGTGGGTCCAGAGTGCAGTCTTTGCAAACCATTCTGCTGGTCCCAGGTATGTCTACGTGTGCTGAGCACCGTGGGAAATGTGTGCTGGTGCTGCCGCAGGTATCCATCAGGCTGCAGCCTGAGCGGCAGAGGCTGTGACTCTCGCAGCACTGAGTCCCCTCTCATGTTTAACTCAGTCTCTCTCCTAACCAAGGCCAAGTGTTTGAGCTAGAACAGGCTCCAGGGCAGCTCTTCTCTTGCAGAGCCAGTCACCAGAGCAGAAGCTGCATCCCACATTCAGCCTCCCAGTGCTCTGCTAAAGGGCTGCTGGTGCTGGTGTTAGGGCAATCAGCTTACCAAGAGGAGACGCTGTATGTGGCCGAGCTGTTGTCAGTGTCAAGGATGTTCTGGTCTGGACCCTTCCAAGTGATGGTGGGCTTCGGCCGCCCACAGACTTTGCACTGCAGTATTACTGTGTCCCCAAGCAAGCAGGTCACATCCACCAAGGGCACAAGGAATTCTGGGGCCACTATAATCAAATCAACATACATTCACATCATTCAGAGAAAACTTAGAACAAAACAGCCATTTTTTAACACACCACTCTCATTTCCCACCCATATCACGTAATGATTCAAATAACCTTCAGCATAACACTGGAGAGTCATCTAGGTCTCTTTAAAAAGTGTTAAAAAGTAATAACTGTTTATTGTAGAAAAATTAGGAAATACAGACAAAAAGAAAATCTCCATAATGTCACATAATTCAGAGATTATTACTGTGAGCATTCTGGTATATATCCTTTTCGGCTTTATACAAACAGACTTCTTATAAAAATGGGATCCCATTATATATATTGCAAGTTTTAGTCTTTTTCAGTTAAGAGTCCATGATAAACATCTTTCCTTGTCCATTAATACAGAACTCTATCACCACTGCTTGCAGCCAGTGCTTCAATGCTAGATTAACTATAATTTATTTAACCAATCTCCATGTTCCCAATTCTAATGCTTTTTAACTCACCTTCTTGGATGAAATTTGGATTTAAGATCTGAAAAATACAAAGAAACAGAAAATTGCTTGAATCCTAAACTATTAAAACAGAACAAGAGACTTCACCCAATTGAGTAAAAGGAAAGTACAATTTAGGGAGGTGAGACCTGGAGCCCAACTTCCCACTTTGTTGTGACTGTATTACCGTCACAGTAACAAACCTCTCTTTAGCAACAAATGACACTTGGTTTACGCCATCTAATCTGGCTGTTCACATTCCTGCCTGGCAGCATGCAGCCCCAGGCAGGTTTACTGTGACTTGGAGCTCTGCTAGCAGAGGTCTTTTTTTTTTTTTTCTTTTTTGATCTTTTTGCTGCAGCAGACCTTTCTGTCCTTCCTCCTCTCAGTTGCTTTTCTTCCATTCACAGGCAGAAAGCCCACTCTCCTGTTCATTATACACTCAAGCAATGTGGTGGCATTGTTTCTTCCTAATATCACAAACTCAAAAATAGAAGACCTGAGACCTATCAAACTGGAAGGGTCACTGAAATTCACTAACCTAGCGTTTTCCTTCCAAATGTCCTCCCTTTACCCTTCACCCATCCCCAGGCAGGGGAAATGTCTCCTCAAGCAGCTAAACAAGAGCTTCTCTGGTTGAAGGAGAATAGGAGAAGTCCTGTCTGTCTCTTCTTTCCCAAGCATGATCGCCTATAACCCAGGGCTGCATGGGGCAACTTGAAGCCACTGACCCAACCATTCTGACCCTGCCCACTTCATAGGTGAGAAAATGAATACTAAGTGACTAAGCCAACTAAGTCCAGTCACAAGGCTGGGTCAAGGAAGACACTGCTAGGGCTCTGTGTATATACCATGCTGCCTGCCTCAGGACACCTTGGAGATTTCACAGCAGGAAAAACATTCTAGCTAACTAGCTATTCTGGAAAACTACCTCTTCTTGAGAAGATGATCACTTTCCCCCTATCTTTTGTATTACCGCTAATTGTGCAAGTCCAGATTGTACAGCCTGGCATTGTTAAAACGGCATGGACTTTGGAGACAGGCTGAGATAATCTGTTTTGTTTAATGTGATTCCATGTTAATTACTTAATAACTGATGCTCCACTATAACATGGGATAAATAATACCTAGTATAAAGTGTTATCACAAAGATTAAATGAGATTATGTACGTCAAGTGCTTAGCACAATGCCTGACAAATAACAGGTACTCAATACCTATTTAAATGTAATCATTTTCCTTCTGCTAAGCAGCCTGTTATTAATGAGGCTTATCTCTAATCGTTTATTTGGTAAAATTCTTCTTTCCTTTATAATGAGGCCAGAAAATTCACATGCCTTACAAAACAGCCCAACTGAGGCCTTTGTCATTATTTCCCTGTATTTATGCATATCATTGTGAACATGCATGGTTTCTGTGTGTTCTCCCCTTATAGAGGAATCCATATAAGCCCTTTGGAAGAAAGACGTGATTTCCTTCTGTTTCCCCTTTGCAAATCAAGTGCCCACTTATACCACTGAAGTTTTGCACAAAGTGGGCTGCAGAAAACCCTTGTGATGCCAAGTTCTGGGCTGAGTGTCCCAACTCTGGCCACTGCAATGCCCTCTGCTAGTCTCAAAAGACCACTTACACCTCTCCTTTGCCTGTCTTTAAATCAGTGGTTCTCAACACCTGACCTGGGCAGCCTTAAAAACACAAGAGGCCAATACCTGGGCCTCATGCCTAGAGTTTTTGTTTTAATTGGTGTGAAGTGAGGCCCAGGCATTGGGATTTTGTTTTAACTCTGTAAAGTGAGTCAACATGCAGCCTTGTTAATAATGAACCTGATGAAAGCCCCCCTCTATCCCAGGGAACTGATCTTGGATAAACCAACTTCCTGCCTCAGAGGCTTCTCTGGGGTGGGGTAGGGGAGTGGATGAGAGCATCTGGTAGGAGCTACTGCATTTCTTACACTTAAAAGAGTCCTCTGTGTGAAAAGATTTCCAAAGCATGGCATGGGGAAGGATGTGAAGGGTTGCTCCACTTGAGCTATTGAATCAACTATGAGCAGCACTGCACCACCTGTAGGGGACGCTAAAGAGGCCAAATATTTCTCTTTCTGGTTTAGATGAGGCAGAGAGAATGGCATCCCAGTCAGTCATTTGACAGTCAAAGAAAAGAAGGCTAAGAATATTTTCTAAATGTTAACAGTGGTTACCTCACGGTGGCTTCCTCCCCATTCAAAAAGCATTAACTGAACTTGTCTTCTGCTCTAAGATCTGTGTACAGTTTTGTGGATAGGGAAATACTAAGACACAGGCTCTACCCTTGGGATTTATAAAACATCTTAATTTGGGGGTGACTGTTTTTTCCTTTATTTTCTTATGTGGGCTTCCCAAATATTCTGCAGTCAGCATGTTTCACTTTCTTAATAATTATTTTTGAAGGAAAAATGGCACAGTCAGACCTACTAGTCTGTGAGCTCTTTAAAGACAGGAACTATTTGTCTGTCATTCACCTCTGTACCTCAGGGCCCTAGCCCAGGGCTGTCACACAATGGTATTTAATAAACGTTGGTGAATACATATTTGATCTTTGACTTCATTTCAGACATTCCAAGAATTTAGGACTGGTTCATAAGGAGAATCTCAGAATAGGACCAAGAGGACCAATGTTATTAGTCACATACTCAGAATACCCAGTTCTGGGTATATGACCAATAATACTTGACTAGAGCCTGTTGGCAAACACAGATGGATGCAAAATTTTAGAAAATGATTCACAAACAACATAATCCATAGCTCCTGAGAGAGGACGTTCTTAGCAGCACGCTGCGCAGAAGAGAGCGTAAGCTCAGGGAGCAGACAGAGCATGTAGTACCCAGACTTAAAGACAGACACACTCTCTTGCCTTGGACAACATTCTTAAGCAACTCCTGCCTCAGTTTTATCTGTGAATTGGGGATAAAAATGGCCATGTGGAAGGGTTGTTTGATGTAAGGACTCAATTTACTTGATGAAGATTTACTGAGCTGACCTTGGTGAGGTGGTGGTGACCGGGTAGGGAGTAAGGCAGACTTGCTCACCACCCTCAATGGCCAGCAGTCTTGTGGGAAAGATGGAGTTCAACAACATTTGCATTTGATGCAGCGCCTGACAGATGTTAATGACCAGCTTTCAACAAACATGGAACATTACACTCCACCTGCTGCCCCGAATCCATCAGAAGGACTCTGGGGTGGAAATGATTTGATAATGCTGCTAACTTGGTTCAATGACCTGTATTTCCCATCATGATGGGAACCCACAAGGAAGTAGGGCATGGAGTTCATGACAAGAGTCTCAGAGAGGAGAAAGCTAACAAAATGGAAGAGACAAGTAGCAGGCTTATATGTGATACGATTTTAAGTAGGGCTTCATAAACCTACACTGTGGCACTTATAAAACCTACACTTTTATAAGAAAACACGCCAAAGTGCTGCTTAAATCACTTCTTGCCTTACTCCTCTTTTTCATCACATAACCCCAGCTGTGCTAAGTATATTATTAAACAGACACACTGTTTAAAAAAGCAAATATTGGTCAGGCGTGGTGGCTCACACCTGCAATACCAGCACTTTGGGAGGCTGAGGTGGGTGGATCACTTGAGGTCAACATGGTGAAATCCTGTTTCTACTAAAAATACAAAAATTAGCCAGGCATGGTGACAGGTGTCTGTAATCCCAGCTACTCGGGAGGCTGAGGCACAAAAATCACTTGAACCCAGGAGGTGGAGCTTGCAGTGAGCCAAGATTGTGCCACTGCACTCCAGCCTAGGTGACAGAGACCCTGTCTCAATAAAATAATAAAATAAAATGAAATGCAAATATTGGCCAGATGCAGTGGCTCCTGCCTGTAATCCCAGCACTTTAAGAGGTCAAGGTGGAAGGATTGCTTGAGACCAGGAGTTCAAGACCAACCTGGGCAACACGATGTGTCACTAAGAAACTTTTTTTAATTAGCTAGGTGTGGTCCTAGCTATAGACTGAGGCAGGATAATCACTTGAAACAGGAGGTTGAGGCTGCAGTGAGCCATGACTGTGTCACTGCACTCGTCTGGGTGACAGAGGGAGATCCTGTCTGAAAAAAAAAAAAAAAAAAAAAAAAATCCTTTCTCTTTTTTTGAGACAGAGTCTTGCTTTGTTGCCCAGGCTGGAATGCAGTGGTGTGATCTCAGTTCACTGCAACCTCTGCCTCCTTGGTTCAAGCCATTCTTATGCCTGGGAAGCTGGGGCTATAGGCACATACCACCACACCCGGCCATTTTTTTGTATTTTTAGTAGAGAGAGGTTTCACTATGTTGGCCAGTCTGCTCTCAAACTCCTGACCTCAAGTGATCTGCCCACCTCGGCCTTCCAAAGTGCTGGAATCACAGGTGTGAGCCACCACACCTAGCCAAAAGCAAATATTCCTAATTTGAGTGTAGTCCTTAGCAGAGACATTGGAGAGAAAGATTACCAGTAAGTCTTAATTACAGGCTCTCCAACTGGAAGGGGGCTCATGCAAGTCTTGGTCTTCATTCCTCTGCCTTTTGGCTAGTCCAGGTGAGGAGAGCCCACCTTGACACAAGGTGTAGCTGATAATGGTAACAGCATCACTGATTTGGGTAGCATTATGTGGTTGGCCTAAGCTACTCACAAAGTCCTTCATGTGCTCCGCCAAAACTTCCTCATGTGCAGAGCAAATGTTATTTATCCCCATTTCCTAGGTGAGATAGGGAAGTGAAGTGTTAAGATCACAGCAACAGAGGACTGGATCTGAGAGCTCTTGAATTTTAGTCCGGTGCTCCTTCCATCACAGCATTCAGCAAAGTGGGAGGGTCTTAGGAAAGCATTGCAAAAGTTTGTCGTTGACATCAAAGGCCTATCTGCTTATCTTTGCTCTCCATCCCTTTCCCCATCCTGTCTCTACTCAGTCTTCTTCTTTAAAATCCTTCAGCAAGGACCAAGACCCTGGGGAAGGTCCACACTAATTTTTTTTTCTAACATTGACTCTGGACTATGGCCATTAGAAGATTTCTCCCT